ACAAAAGTGTGTGTATGTGCGTGTGCGTGTGCGTGTGCGGGTGTGTTTTTTTTTTTTGTGTGTGTGTGTGCGGGCGTGCGTGCGTGCGTGCGTGCGTGCGTGCGTGCGTGCGTGCGTGCGTGCGTGCGTGCGTGCGTGCGCGCGTGTGTGTGTGTGTGTGTGTGTGTGTGTGTGTTTGTGTTTGTGTTTGTGTGGGAAACACATGTTGAAAGCTCTCAGACACGTTTGCCTTTGCTGTTCTTGCAATTCCAGCCCCAACTGGCGAACGCTTTTCTTGCCAGTGCACCGGCTTCCCGTGATCGGTTGCTCCGAGGCACCCAAAGCAAATGCTGCCGCTGTCAGCCAGGCGAAGAATCATCGGTGCAGGTGATTCGTAAGGCTGTGCAGCAATGTGCTTGAGGTGCAAAATGCCGGGATGGATCTTGGCTTTCTCAGCTTCACAGGGTTCAAGAGCAAAAAGGCCTGTCATATCCTGGGATATACCTGAATGCCTTGCCACATTCATATCCTGGTGGCCTGGTGATGCAATCAGTTGATATCGAATTTGCAACCATTGCCGCGCTTCGGAGGTTGAGCCGGAGCTTACGCCACCAGCAAAGAAACCCAAACTGGCCTGCGGCTTGTTTCGGTTTGGAATCCGGTCAGCTACCCTGTTCAAACTTGCCCAGGTGCCGTCGTGGGTAATAGAAGGTGCTGCTGTTCATGTTCGCCGCGGAGTGCATGACTTAGATGCAAATCATGTAAGAACTCTCCAGCCGGCCGTTCTTTCATTGTTGCACTGCAACGAGGCTGCAGATATCACGGGAACGATCCTTGAAATCAAGGGTGAAGCTCTCAGCAGATGGCGAGCCACCGCCAAACATGGTATCGAGAACCCAGAGCATGTCAACGAGTGTACGACGGCGTAGTCATATTCCCTGAAACTGAAGGATGCAGAGTTGAGTGCTCCGAGGCGACGTGTGTAGGGTGCGGACATCGCAGCCAGCACCCCAAGGACTCATATACTGCAAATCTGCTGGAACGGTCCTTCCTCTCGCATGGTTGGTGCAGGATCAGATCTCGGAGCAGAAGAGCGGGAAGAGATGCTTCCATTGCCTGTGCGGCCGCACAGTCGTTGCATATCCTCTGGACCTCGATGTAGGGTGCATTGCATACCAATCTAGTGCCAAGGCCATTCTTCCGGTAGCACCGGAGATTGGGAGGAGCGTTAAGGCCGTTGTCGGAGATCTACAAAGGCAACTGCCATGGACGCACACGTGAGGTCGTCGCCGGTGACCGAACTGGCATCATAGGCAAGGAGTCCTTCGCCGCGGTACTGAGCTCTATGATAGCTGGCTTTGGACGTCGAATCTGTTGACAGGAAAGCTCGTCGGACTTGCTGGCACAGAAGCCGTTGTACAGATTGGGGGGTGCGCGCCAATCTTTGCTTGTGGCATCTGCGTGGAAGAGTAGCCACCTGCAGATTTTGCAGGATGTGCTACGAAACTCTGCCCATGACACAGCGGCACACCCAGTCAGTGAACATCCTAGGTCCTAGATTGCCAGCACAAGTAATGCCCCTCGTCAGGATCGCGGTTGTATCCAACTGACAGCATCGGTGCGACAAAGGTTTCACTTCGCGCGTTGATAGCGCCTTGAGCCGTATCGCACAATTTGAAGGCCTTTCGGGTGCAGACAAAGCTGCTGACGCCCAGAAGCCGGAGAATTGTGGGAGACTGCCCAGTGTCGCAGACAAAAGCTTTGATATGTCCTGTCCCTAGCAGTGGAGAGCAATGGGAGACCTTAAGACCAGTTTGCGTTTGTCGCTGTTCAGCTCAAGGCGACCATTCGTACTCGTACTGTAATTTGCTTTTGGTTGACGACCTGCGCATCTTTGTGTTCTAGCCCATTCGAGGATCGAGATCTGCCACCCTCAGATAAGGACGTGAGCTCGAACCACCCGAATAAGCAAGTGTCATCAGAGACAGGTGTAGCGACATAAGATTGAATAGGGAGCACAGGCTCAGTGCAGGGAACTCCCGTGCGTGGATCGTGCGCTGGTTCGCACTGCTTCTCTTGTCGCAGCACACCACTGAAACAGCAAATGCCAGATAAATCTGAAGAAACCGGGGATTACTGGGAAAAAGAAAATCCAAGGCGGACGTACCTTTTGTAAAGTAGGAAGATGACTCAGGAGTAAACACAAGCCTGAGCTCGAAAACCTTTCTATCAAAACTGTTGAAGAAAACTCGGTCCACAAGCTGCAGCTAAAATGCAAGCAACCTTAATGGCTGGTTAGTGGCCAGGGTTGAGATTGTGAATTGTTGCCTCACAGGTTCTGTGCTTCCACAGCCAAACTTTTGCATTGCGAGGGCAATGTTCTCAAACCTCGCATGTTATCCCCGTGCTTCCGATGCCTGTTTGACTCTTTGACTCCTTAAGCGCCACAGCCCAGCAACCAGTGCGGGATCTTGGCATAATTTCAGCCGACGACAGTAATGCTTGGGACGATTTCAGCCTGTGCTGATTCGGAGTCTTTGGACTGCGAGGGGTGACTTCAGATCATTGTGGACATTGTCGCATCGCCAAGCGCGCGCTGTGGCGTCAGCTTTCTTGGAAGGCACGCAGCTCGCCTTTGCGTGCACGCGTATACAGGCTGCCTCGCATCGCCGCTCGGCGACTGCTTCCGCATCGAAGTTGGTTTCAGGCCAAGGCGGCGCAAGTGTGGCTCGGGCAGACACGAGGAGCGCGGGCCGCAGCTCTTCGTAGTGATGGAGTCGCATCAATAGGATGCGGCATCAATAACAACAATGTTTCCAGCGCCCTGCGTACGCCAGCTCTCACCACTCATCCAACAAGCGTTTCGAGGGTTGGTGGCCCCCGTGTGCACCGAGACGACTGCGGCTCGCAGGAAGGGTGGCACATCCTGGAGCGTGGGCACTGGGTGGCGGAGCTCGTCCTGGAGGTCGACGCCATCTAATGCTTCCCATCGGCCTCGACTGCTGCTGGGCGCGGGCACGTGGGAACAGCGCCCGAGTCGGCGGGGTCGTCGGCTGAGGCAGTGTGCTCGCGCGATCGTCGGGCTCGTCGGCGGCGTTGGCCTGATCTACGTCGCCCGTTTTGTCGGTCGTTGGCCTGGCATTGCCTCGGTGCGATCGGCGTGAAATGATCGCGCGCTTCATCGGCTAGAGTTTGCACGGCTGCTGCGAGGGCTCCGCCACCATACGCCTCGAGCAAAGCTGATTGGGCTGGAGCGGCGAGGTAGCTATCGGCCGTCATGCACAGTAGCACTGCCGCGGACAGTGGCAGCGGGGCCTCCGGCGGCAGCGCAGAGAGTTGATCCAAGGCGCGGTCGATGTCCGGGACTGGCGCGTCCGCGTCGAGTGATTCGCACTCCGCGGCAGCGCGCATGAGGCGGGCGATGGGGCCTGGTGGCACGCTGGAAGATTGACGTAGTGCTGAGGCAAGCTCCGCGAAACGGGGTCCGAGTTGTGGTCGCGCATGCCAAGCTTCAGCCGCCGCGTGAGTGAGATGTCCCGCGCCCGCATGAAGCAACGGCACGAAAAGCCACGACGGCGGGCGGGCATCCTGCCATGGCAAGGCCGTCTCGTCTCGCGAGGATTGTGGTGGTGTGAACCCTGGCGTCGCCTCGCCTGACAATGCTGGTGCGGCATCGTGCGCTCGCGTCGGCTCGGCTGCTGCCGGTCGCGGGGTAGCGGCTGGTGAAGCGAACGGCGTCTTCCAGCGTGTCGGAAATGCTCGCGGCTGGTGATGGAGGTGCCGCGGGCAAAAGCCTCATTTGGGCTAAAGCGTGCCCTGTTGTTGGCGCACGGCTACGCTTGTTGGCTCCGGTGCGGTATCGGCGGCTCGCTCGTTGGGCGGGCCGGGGTGTGAGGCTTTCCCCCACGCGACGCCCGCTATGCGGGTGATGTTGATCGGCTGTTCGCGTGCACTCGATCGGTGACTGCTGGGTGGTGTGGAGGGTTAGGTCACGTGCGATGCGCGGCTGCGCTTGCGTGTCTCGCATGTGCAAAGAAAACTGGCGGGACGTCTCGCCAGCGCCGCGAGCAAACATGACAACCCCTCGACGTGTCCCTGAAAAGCCCAGCACACAGTGCACTCATTTTTGCCCAAGATCCAAGGCCAGTTCGCTTTGCCGCCCCGCGCCGCATGCACGTCCTGGCAAGTGAACAAAAGTCAAAAACTCTTGCGTGAGCCGGGCCGCACTTCAGTGCATGTTGAGGACGCCGGCAGCTGCCGCTTCGGCGGCCGCCCAGGCGACCGCTTCCACGAGCCCGGCGGCGTGGCCTCCATCTTTGCCCATCGCCTTGCCGCCACCTTTGCTGGAACCACGTCCTCGTCCGCCTTTGGGTCCGCCTCTGCCGTCCCTTGCGTCCTTGCCCCCGCGCCGTCTGCGCCCATCTCGGCGTGCTGCAGGGCCGCCTTTGCCTTTTCCTGCGTTGACCATGCTCGCGAACGGCTGATCCACGCGGGCGGCTCATGTCGCGGGAGCGGCTGCGGCTGCGGCTGCGGCTGCGGCTGCGGGCCGCTGCCGGACCTGGCGAGGGCGGCAGCTCGTCCTCCGGGGCCAAGGCGCGGAGGATCGAGACCACGCCCAGGAGAAGGGATTCCACCGGCCACTCCATGAGACGAGGCAGGCGCTGGCTGTGCACCAACCCCTGGATGACCACCACAGCTTGGCACGGGCGGCAGCGTGCCTCGTCCAACCTCACGGGACGAAGGCGACAGGTGCGGCACGTTGCCATGTTGGGGCTGCAAAGTAACGTGAGCAAGGCTCAAAAGGCTTCGAGCTGGAATGGCTGCGGGCATATAGACAGGCTGGGCATGTGTCTGCATGTTGCATCGCCGAAACGCGTACGCGACCCCCGCGCGTCCCCAGTGCGCAGCGGCGCAGCTGGTGTGCACTGTGAAGGGTGTGCCCTGCCGCCCTCGCCTTCTTGGCGGCGGGGGCTATCATATCCGGCAAGGTCGTCTCCAGCCAGGGTTCGCGCGCTGGCGTCACGATTGCACTGTTGCGTCGCGCAACGTCGGTCACCGCTTTTTGGCCCCGACGTTTGCGAGTGGGGGGTGCGTCGCGCAAGGGCGTGGCTGCCGGAAGGCCGGGCCTGTGTGGTAAGGTCGCGGCGTGCAAGACGCAGCACAAAAGTTCCTCGGGCGTTTGCCCAGCAGCAGTTGCAAGCGCGCCGAGCTCGTGCTCCCCCCCGAGTGCAACGCAGCGCAGGATCTCCTCCGCAGCAGCCGTCCATTCGGGAGGGGGCACATGGCGTCTCGCGAAGTGCGCCCAGCACGCGGCCATCAAAACACCGCCCAACGCAGCCCCAACACACAACCACCCCCAGCAGTGGGAGCAAGGCCCCCAACCTGGCGGATAGTCCTGCGGTGCGTTCCCGAAGCAAGCAAGCGCCGCGTGAAGGGTGGCTTGGCGGCAGGATTGCGGCAGCTGGAGCACCTCCGGCACGGCTTGCCGCGCTGCTTGCACGACCCATCGTGCGGCCGTGGCAAAAGCGGCGAGTGCCATCGGCGCGACCCCCCGCTCTCAGCAGAGACTCTTGAAGATATTCCGCATCTTCGAACTAGCGCTTGGTCCCTTGAGCCAAAATGGCTTGAGCCAAAATTTTTTTCAAAGGGAACCTTTGAAGAGTGATGGTGTGTGCTCATGTACACAGATAGCGGCCCTACTTCGCATGCGGGTATGGGTTTCACAAATGGTTTCCGGATATTTCAGGATCTTTTAAACTGTTATTTCATTTTTTTTTTCACGCACCTTTTTGCGACTGCAAGGTACGGCGGGTCCCCGTGCAACCTGCGTGCTACGTGCGGAGCGCTGCCTAGCGCGCCTCCGAGAGGAGCTCATGTAGCTCCGGCCCCGGTCCGTCGCCTGGAGCAGGGAGGCTGCGAAGGCGCGCTGCGCGGCGACGGCTAGGAGGCCGGACCATCGCGCGACCCAGGCCGTGGTGGCGGCAGGGTGCAGCGATCTGGGAACTGCGGCAGCCCGATGCTGCGCTAAGGAACTGCGCCGCTTCGGTGCCGAGCCTGCCGCCAACTTCGGTGCCGAAAACAACGAGGCGGCACCTCCGGGCATGGCCGAGCTCAGGGTAGGTGCCGTGGCGCTTGCGTCTGGCAGCCGCACTGACTGCGCTGCCCGGTACAGCGTCAGCGCGGAGGTGGGCCTCACCTCGCCGCGTCAGGGGGGACACGATCGTGGCATCAATGGCCAGCTGCGACCCATGCCGCAGAGGAAGGCCATTGGCAACAACCTCAATTCGTCGCTCGTCAGCGACTGGCACGTTGGGGTTCATGTCTGCCAACCGAACGTTGCGGGCGACCCGTGCGCCTGCCTCCCGGCAAACGCGCGCGACTGCATGCTCGAGAGGCAGCGCGCGCGTCGACAGGACCGCGGAGGTGGCACACGCAGCACGATGATCGCCCAGCTCGTCGAGGGGCCCGTGGCAGGCACATCTGCGCGGCGCGAACGGCAGGGGCATGCGCAAGCGTCGCAGCAGGAGGACGCGAAAATGGGCGCCGGGGATCGTGACATCATTGTGTGTGGGCGGCACGTTGAGGGCACGGGCTGCGAAGGGCCCTGCTTGCGAGAGCAGCAGCGCACGGGACGCGGGAGAGAGTTGAGAAAGATATCCAACCATTTGAATGGAACGCTAGAAGACGTATAGGGCTACAAACCCACAGCTTCCACGATAGCCATGCATCTACTTTAATGGCCTTCGGAGCCGTTCAGCCCTGGTTCGCTTGTAGCCGTCCAGCTGAAGCAACCCGTATTTGCTACGCATGTCGCCGGCAGGGCGTGCCTGCGGCCGACAGACGTGGCGGCCAACGGTTTCCCATTTGGCAAGGCGCATAAATCGCAGTTGATACCGCGACCCTCAACCCTGTACGACGGGACGGCCAGCCCCGTTCCGCAATAAATTTCATGGCGTTAGAGGCAACGAGGCTGGTGATGGCGAAGCGACCGGGCCACGTTGCAAAGGCTTTGCCATCCGCGCGTGTGGCCTTTTGCGTGAAGTACCAGTCAGTACCGTGAAACAAGCCATTTTGCAGCGACAAGGTCTTGGTTGACGCAGATAGGGGTTTGGGCGATTGCACGATAGACGATTTGCAGCCTTGGTTTGCCGCCTTGGGCTGCCCAGCCTTACCCCACACAATGCCGCAACAGATCGGCTGCTGCAGTAGCCCAAACAGTGCAACAACGGCACCCGCGGGAATGACAACACGGCCGTGGTACTGTGGTTTTAGGGCTTCGAAAACTCAAAAACCGCAGACCCTACATTCCTCTCCGCAGGCCCAGCAACGGCACCTGCGCGAATGACAAAACGGCCCGGTATTGTGGTTTAAGGCTTCGAAAACTCCAAAATGCAGGCCATTTTGTCACTCCTGCGCGGTCCCTTTATGTTGTCTACATGGTTAATATGGCTGTTGCGGATGCTGCTGCTCTTACATACGCCTATAACGACTACTACAACTATTGACGACTCGTGTAGCCTGATTTCCGTTTCGACACCCTGTGCTCTATCATGCATTGCTGTACAATTCTCATCGTGGTTAACAGGTTCCCTGGTAGGGTTAAAAATACCAGGCCCTGGTCATGGTTACAGCACCTACTCTGCGTGTCCCGCACAAAAAGGGAACCTGATACAGGGCCGTTCGGCCTCTGCGAGCGCTACGACTCTACGACTGCGGGCACGCGACAACGTGCAGCCCATATCAATCCCACCAATGTCCGCGGCGCGCGCAGGGAAAGCGAGCGAGCGAGGCATCGGACGAGGTCGCGCGCCTGTTGCCCCCAGCGTCCGCTGACGTCTGCAGCCAGAAAGACACGTCGCCCCCCATCCCGATCGATCCGACGAGCCCAGAAGGGCGCCGTGCTGCGGCTTGCCGAGCGGCGCAAGCGAGCCGCCTACCCCGAGCTCAGCTCCGGAGGCCCGCAACGGCTCCTCGTGCTCGGCTCCGACATCGGT